TGTTTATCACTGATTGCAATTCCTAACTAACGTTCCATACCTAAAATAGTAATTTTTAACATAATTTTAAAAAAAAAAAGGAGCAGTCCGTGGTACAGACCTCTTTTTATTGAATTATTAAAATCTGCCTGAAACATCGTAAATAGTTTCATCACATCGTAGCCTACAATTATTTTATCAACGAAAACTCTTGGAATTGGGGCGTTTTCGATGTGGAGGGGAAGAAACTTTGTCTATTTAATTAGGTACTTAAAACTCGTAAATACCTATTGGCTTTCCACCTGGACGGCCTTCAAAAATATTGGGTCGTTTGGCGTGACATACTCCCCCAAATTTTCAAAAAGACAAAGTTATATAGGACTATTTACAAAGTTTCAGGCGGTGTTAATAATTCGATAAAAATATGTTGAATATATTAGACAACGATAGGTTATTTATTTATACTTTTATAAGATCACTTGGAAAAATGTATTTATGTTCTTGCCTATTTAATTAGGTACTAAGAACTCGTTAATAAACATTTGCTTTCTACTTGGATTATACGATAATTTGATCACGAACTCGAGAAAAAATGTGGCCTTCAAAAATATTGAACCGTTTGTCCTATATAACCTTGTCTTTTTGAAAATTTGGGGGAGTATGTCACGCCAAACGGCTCAATATTTTTGAAGGCCGCCTTTTTTTCTCAATTTCATGATACAATTATCTTACGGTACAAGTAGAAAGCCAATAGGTATTTACGAGTTTTAAGTACCTAATTAAATAGACAAAGTTTGTCCCCCTCCACATTGAAAACGCCCCAATTCCAAGAGTTTTCGTAAATAAAATAGTCGTAGGTTAGATTTAAGGTTGTAGATGTTAGGTCCGTTTCGTTGTTTTCCGTATCAAAATGCACTGCACTCACGAAGGGTTTTGTAGTTTATAAAGATTTTGATTTATTTTTTTTTTGTCTATAAATGTTGAATGTTTGGATTTTTCATGATTAAGTCTAATTTTCCATAGTGTGAACCAATCTTGTAATTTAAGTATGTGATGTTCTAGTGTTGGTGAGTCCTGTGTAGATTCTTGATGTTTTGTGAGAATTGTCGTGTCGTTCTGGATAAGTAGCTGTCAAGATCTCATCGTAAATAGGTATATCGTAAGTGTATATAACGTAAAGTAGAGGGGCTAGTATTGAACCTTGGGGAACTCCTACCAACATTGGACGAACTGAAGATATTTCCGAGCCCTGCCAAAATGAAAAAAAAAATCTGTCGAAGAGGAAAGATTGAAGGATAAGATAGTACGTGTAAGATTGTTTTTTTAAATCTTATATTGGTTAAAATAGAAAGAGTCCTATTTATAGATCATTAATCGATTAACTTTTTTAAAAAGTAACTAATTTACGTTTTCTATGATATGTAGCTTGTTATTCGGGTAATTATATAGATTGATATATTTAGAACTTATCCCATCTTTCTTTTCATCTATTCACAATCATTTCAGTCGGCGAGTCTTAATCCAAGTAGGCTGATGTGCCTAATGTACAAATAGCAGTGGGGATTTCTGTTAAGTCTGGTCGATAATGGCAAACGATTTTTTTTGTTTTCATAAATCGTACGAATATATTATACAATGATAGGTTATTTTTTTATACTTTTAGAAGATCACTTAAAAAATGTATTTATGTTTTTAAAAAATTCTATACATTTGAATAGGAAACCACGTTTTTAAGGATTCAGATTACGATTTAAAATACAAATAGATAAGGAAAATAGGATAGACCAGATTTATTTTAAATACCTGCCATTGATTTATATGTTCTTGGGTATATGTATTAAATTTTTGACTATCATTTATCTGATGTCTTAAATCAATTCTTAATATTGACACCGTTCATTAAAGTGATTACGTTAGATCAGCTCTGGATAATACTTACAATGTGAAGTGTTGTACCGATACCTTGAATACATGCTGTTGTATTATTAATCAAGTAGTGAATCAGTAACCGTGGATAGCTAGAGAGTATATGTTTAATGAAGACACGTAGTCTGTGCTGGCTCCACTAGCTCCAATCGCAGGGAACTGGTAATCCCGGAGATTAACTGTACTACATTAGTAAGCCATCAATTACCCCACCTTAGCCTGCCCTGGCAGCTGAGTCTAGCTTCTCTGTCCCTAATAGCCCACTTTTGTTTCAGCATGGGGCTGTCTGTATTCCGTCCTTGCATTAGCTGTCATGGCATGTATATGAGGGAGAGATAGACACTGAGAGTGGAGGAAGTGAGCGAGACAGAGATCTATATTAAATCATATTTAATCATTATAATAAATAAGATCGCTTTGTAAAATAATCAAAAATTGTATCTACCAAACCATAATAATGCCAGTAATTATGTATGGAAACATGGGCCTTAACCAGAAAACCAGAACGCATCCGCAATTCTTGAGAAAAAAAATAAGGTATTCAAAAGAATATGTAAAAGGGTGTTGAGAAGAATATTGTCGCTGAGAACGGGATTTGGAGAAAAATTAATAAAGAGCTACTGGAACTATTTCGATAACCCAAAATATGGCTACGAGATGTTGAAGGGTATGTCCGATCAAGGAAGGGCAAAGAACATACTAAGGAATCGAACGATCTAAGGTGGCTGTGTGTTCGAATTTGGAGAGAGATACCACAAGACCTTAGAGATTGGTTGTCTGAAGTAGGATCGAATTAAAATAACAACAGGCATACGTGCTAGTGTTTTCAGATATTGTAAAACAGTAATATGAGTATCGAGTTCCGTTTATTTTACTTAAATTTAATCAATATTAGAAATTTAGTTGAGTTGATCGTAAATAATCAACTGTTTTAGTGGTAAAATTCTTCGATATTCCAACAGGGATAGAATTTGAGTAAAATAACTGTACTCAAATTATCTTTTGCTCATATCTAGTGGTATTAAGCAAAACCATAATTTTCTAACATGAGCTAAAATAATGAATAATTAATATGTAATTGATTTTTTAGAAATTGTCAAAATTCATTGAATATAATGAATTTGGAATTTACTACATTATTTAGACATAGACACTGCAAAAGCCTGTAAGGATAATTTCTATTTAAAATCGGGGTTTGAGCTTTTCTGGTTGATTTTGACCTGTTGCATATTCTAAACTTACGAAATTAAATCTACGGTGTTTCATTTTTTCTCTATGGCCTTTTGTAAAAACCTGTAACTTAAAAGTAGCAAATTGTGATGTAAAAAACTATAAGTTACAGTGAAGGTTATAGAGATTGTGTCGATACCAAAAAAAGTAATGATTACCTAAAAAGAAAGCACCTGGCCATCACCTGATAACTGATCCAGAAAATGCCTAGAAAAGTTCTATTTTACTGAACATATATTTAAAATGGAATACTCAGAACGACCAAATTTCCCATACAATGGAAATACTCATACATTACAATAATTCTTAAACCCAATAAAGACAAATACACCCCTTCAACTTATAGGCCAATTAGTCTAATCCCTATATGTTCTAAAATCTCTGAAAAACTAGTGTACAAAAGACTTATTAATATACTGACGGACGAAAAAATAATACTTGACCATCAATTTGGATTCCGACTACAGCATTCAACCATCCGTCAATTACACAGGACGACTGACTAGATTCCAACGGCACTGGAGCAAAATTTGTATGCAACTGGAGTATTTCTGAACGTGGCTCAAGCATTCAATAGAGTCTGGCATTAGGGTTTTCAACTTAGGACTTAGGACTTCAAACATAGGACGATACTCCCTCCTAACTACTATCTTATCCTTCGATCCTTTCTTTCTGACAGATTTTTCTCTGTCTGCCAAGGCTCAGAACTTTCTTCAATAAGACCAGCCTTAGCAGGAGTTCCTCAGGGGTCCAGTACTCGCTCCGCTTTTATACATCATATACACACACGACATTCCTAACAGCAGATGAACTATTATAGCGACTTACGCAGACTATATAGATATTCTAACTAGACATAAAAACCCAACACACGCCTCACAGACTGTACTTCTGTTATTATCTAACAGAACTAAACGATTGGTGCAAACTTTGGAAAATTCGACTCAACCAAGACAAACCACATCACATCACTCTTGGACATGGAACATGTCCTCCTATTTATCTTGACAATGCCGAAATTCCTCAAACAGATAAAATACAACATCTTGGACTGACATTCGACAGAACAATGACGTGTGGCCCACATATCAACAAAAAAAAAAGAAATGCTTTAAACCTCAGACTACGTTTATTATACTCACTTCTCTCAAGACATTAAAAATTAAACTTAAAACATGAACTGAATACTTACAATTATCTACTTAAGCTTATATGGACCTACGCTTCACACGGGACAGCCAAAACGACTCACATACGAAAAAAACAAACTTTTCAGTCCAAAACTTTCAGTACCATAACTAAAGCTCCATGGTAACTCACAAAAATTACATTACATAAAGATCTTCAAATGCAAACAGTTAACGATCACATACGGACACTCTAAAAGCGATTTCACAATAAATTAGATGGACATACTAACTCACTTATACAAAGTATGGCTACATTTCAAATGCCCGAAAACACACTTAGGAGGCTTAAAAAGAGCTTGATGAGCGATTTCCTCGCTTAAAATGATGCTAAAGTCAAGACAGGAAGGGATGCTGCTGGGTACTCCTCTCCATCACGCCGATCAAGCCACTACGTATACTGTTACCGACAGAAGACCCGCTAATTATCATTGATTATGACAGGTGTCTGTATATAAATGAAGTTAAACAAAAATATTTTAACGACTGATTCTTAATCAAGTGATCAAAATAATTAAATTTTCATAGAATATTTGTGCTAACTAAAATGACTTGCTAATTAAATCGATCATCGTCCACAAAAATTAATACTCTGTATTCAATTAACAAATTTTGAAGGTTACGAGATGTAATACAAATATTTTGACAGAACAGCCAATCAACCTATATTGATTCAGCATGCTATATATAGTAGTTGGAAAAAGATCGACATACCTCATCGTCAAAATGAAGTTATACAATATTGCTGTAATCCTTTTGATCGCCGCCTCTTTTTCGTCCGAGGTGCTGGCCCAGCCGCTACTGACTGGCCAAGGAATTACGAACAATGGTGGCTTTATATCGAGCATTATAAACACCATCACGATGAAGCTCAACACGGGATTGCAGGTAAAGTGGTTTTCCGATGAGTATGAAATAGATGAGTTGTTACTTTGGCCTTTCCTTTGGCAATGGGGATACTAAGTTGAAATATTTCAAATTGGGTAATTATAATTTTTTATGTTTTTTTTTCTGCGGGTTTGAGAATATCATTTTAACTTTCACTCTGGTCAGGACGTGGCAGCAACTGCTTTTTTTTTTCTTTTTTATTTGTTTATTGATAAATATTACAATCTGTCTCAATAAAGGACATTTATAATATAGTTCTGAGATCACATTCACAACATATTTACAAATTAAAAAAATAAAAAAATAAATAAGGTAATAGCAGCAACTGCTAGATCCAAAAAGATCCACAAAAGCCACTTATCAAGATAGCTCCTCTACCAATGGCATCAAGTATTTTTTACATTATTATTACATTTTTTGAATATTTATAAAAATGGGCTTTTAACAATGATATTTAAAAGTCTATATTCCCATAAATGTTTAATTTCACATTTACATAAACTTCTTTTGATATAAATTTATAATATAATGGCATTCAATTTACTCTATTATTTTTTTTAATTATAGGTTGCTTCTACCATTATAAATAATCTTAGAGACTTTAATTATGTGAAATTCATTTAGTTAATATTATTGATTTACAGACAATCATGAGCTTTATACCAGGATTCAGCCCATTAACTTCAATGATACCTAATGTACCAGTTATACCCACTGCTGCCCAGAATATACCTGCTCCTGCCCAGAATGCACCAGCAGCTGCACAGAATACACCGGTTGCTGCCCAGAACACACCCGCTACTGCCCAAGGCTCAAGAGCTACTCGTACCGCCAGCAACGGATTGATGTCACTTTTTGGATAAAATATAAATAAATCAATAAAGTAATTGCTGAATCTATAAAAATTCCCAAGTTATTATTACTTCAATTTATCTAAAACAAGCAAATCATTAAAAAAATAAATGATTAATTTTTTATTGAATCCATCGCTAATTGATTTGAAGTTAGTCGAACCGCTGATTAAATCATATTTAAATGCATTTAATACCAAATTCAGCAATATAAGAACTTCCCTTTTGATTAATATCAATGGATTCTTATATGGTTTGTTGTCAAGTATCAAGTTTTCTTCAGTAGTGCCCAATCACCAAAGCATGGTCCTCCTTTTTAAAAATGTTATAGGTCTTCCCATCTTTTTATAACAGTGCAAGTGACCCTATAATTAGAAATATTGTAATATAGGTTCATAAGTAATTTTACTTGCTTTAGCCTGTTTCATTTGTTCCCTTTATTATCTTGTCTGAACGGATTGAAAAGTTGAAAACACAAAAATATGGGCTTCTTCTAAAATTCCTAATTCCATCAAAATGTAACTCTTCAATACTTGATAGAGCAATGACGAATTACAATTCTCCTCTGGCCATCCCTGATATCCTGATACTTCCCGATTTCTGATGAATAAATTAAAATAGTAAAATATTATTTGTGTAAGATTCTCAAGTTCTCCTATTTGATTCTCTTACCTATTAATTAAAAGTATAGCATCAAATATTTTTTCAATTACGTAATTTTGCATTAGCCACAGGTGCAGACAACATTATTATTAATGTAATTATCTTATTGTCAGATGCCATCAGATAATTAAATAATTCCGAATTGTAAGATACGTTATTCCAACCAACATACCTTCCGCTGCATTTAAAAGTGAACTTTTAGTTTCTGTCTTTTGAAATCCATTGTCTAAATTTTGAAGATTAATTATGATATTTTTCTATTTAGTTCAAACTATTTAATAACTATTCTTATTGTTCATAATACAAAAGGCATTGTCATATTTATTTGGGAATCATTTGTAATGAATGTTACATGACATGTTATTTAAGAAAGACGGTTTGAAGTTAACAAATTGATTATCAAGCGAATCCCTTTTATAAATAAATCTATGAAACGAATATTTCAGATAAAAGAATGTGATATTCTAAGATTAATCTCCGAAAATAATAATAATAATGTAAAGCTTTCCTTCAATCATTACTTTTATATCTCCCTGATACACGAGAGTATTTGTTTTCAAATAAACATTGTTTCCCAGCACTTCCCAGTTGTAGGTCAACAATAAAACTCTGAAAAGAATTTATACAATCTAGATATCTTGAAAGTTGTGTAAGAGACAGACATAAATTGAACTAGTATTAACCCTGAGACTGTGATATTGTCCTAAGCCAATCTGATTCGATTTTTATTTATGCTCCATGTATTTCTGCAGAACAAAGTCTTATTCAGCACATGCATTGTTATGAAGACCGGCTTTTTTTTTTTTCGTTTGCAATATCCAAGTATAGTGTGATATAAATTCAATAATTCTAATACGATATAACAAATTACCTGCGGTTACTCTCCCCAGGTTCCGTTATTTGTCTCGATTTTGGCTAGAAATGTTTCGAATTTTGCCTATCTTACGAAATCTCCAAAATGGTAATTTTTAAAAATATTGGGAGTTGGGTAGATGTACAGATAGATACAAACGTGAATAATCATTATATCTGATAGACGCCGAGGACCGTAACCGCAGCTAAAGTGAAAAAAAGCAAACTTATCTCATTTCTTATCAATAAATGGAATAAAAAACAGAAAATGAGTACAGCAATATGCAAAGAAATTTAGAAAAATTGGAAGACTACCCGAAAATCAAAAAGTGATGGTCTGTTGCCCAAAATTCGGATGTTGTGAGTTTTCCCATGGATTCCTCCTGATACTGATGACTAGAAGTCCCAACTTGCACCTGTTATAGATTAACCAGAATTGTAAATCACATATTTTTAGAGTGTATTAGCAACACTGCTCAAAGCAAAAACCTAAAAATAGAAGAAATCCTTCATTATGAGAAAAAATAAATTATCTGTTCAAATAAATAAAAAAAAAATTAAATCCCTTCAAATATTTAATAGAAAAATATCTTTATCATAGAATATAAAACGGAAATAATATGCCAATGGCCCTTTGGGATGCAGGCAAAATAAATAAATAAAATAATTTCAGTGGATTCTTACCAGGACCAGTTTATATAAACCATTCATCACATCAAAAAATATTTATTTTTTATTTTAGGACTTCTAGGAATAAAACTAGTTTTTGTCTACTTTTTTTTGTTTGTTTATTTTATCTAATTTATTTTCATTTAAATAATGACCCTGTCTCATAAACATAAAATGTGACCAATTGCATGATACAGATTTTTTTTTCTAAATTTATGGAATGTCGATAAAAAAAAATCATTGAGTTCAATAATATTATTCTAATGACTTCAATTTATTTAATTAATTTTTTTCATCAAGGTTTATTTAAATTTTAGAAAATGAAAATAAAAAAATCTACCGAATTTTATTGAGTTAAAGATATTTAGGTTAGTAACCTCTGATAGTTCAATTACTGCAGGTGAATAAATAACTTAATGATTACTTAGAAATGATGTTTTCATACAGATTAATTTTTTACAATAGTATCAGAACATATTTGAAGTTTTTAAAAAAATATTATCAGTATAAATAATGGGATATTAATGTTCTAAATAAATTATAGAAAATAAAAATATTTGTATTGATTGAATTTTTATTTTATTAAAGATTTTAGGAAGTAATTTAATGATTACTTGGAAATGATGTTTTTCTATGAATTCATTTTTTTTTTCCCTCATTAGTACCATGACGTATTTGAAGTATTTTGGCAATTTGTCATCAGAATGAATTGTTGGATATAAAAGTTATAAGAACGGAAGAAATGTTATAATAAATTATTTGTGATCGTTATAATGGATTTGTTTTACCTCTTTGATGGCTTAAAGGCAAGATAACAACAAAATCAATTTATACTGTGATATAATTAGCGTCTTCATAAAAAGAAGCCTTAGTTATATTTTATAATATTAAATATCTAAAAATTCGACGATAAGGCGATTCACAGATCACTAGAAAAGAAAATATAAAAACATTTGTGCACTATATGTGGTCCAAAGACCGCTTATATCATATCAAATTTACAAAAAAGATCTGTAACTAACTTCCTTCTAATACATCTCACAACATGTACTAACTTAAATAAAATGGTATTAATTTAATATTTTTTGAAATTTTCTTATTAGATCTAACCTAACATTATTCTCTTTTTATATTATTTGAATTCTATTTTTTTACTCTCTGCTCTTTCTGAATACGTTAAGTTACTATTCCTTTAGTAATGTAGATTGAAAAATGAGTGAGTTAAACATTGAAAATTAATATTTTAATTAATTTTTTTTTAATTTATAGTAATTTTATCACTAAATATATCAGGAATTTTCAAAATAGTTTAAAGAATTACTTACTCAGTAATTTGTCATCACCTCAGTAATGCAGTGGTTATTGATGAAAACCTCCGTTTATTTTCCCGAGCAACGAGAAAGGTACTTCCATCTCTTAACTCTATCCATTCTAAGGTCCAAAGGCATTTGGCCTAGATCCATGGATTATGGCCATGGGGGTCGGCTGGATACCTCAGAGGCCTATGCTTCTTTCCCTGTGGAAGACCTCCATGGACCGAATCCCAAGGTGATCATAAAGCCTGGAGGACCGCATCACGATTAACATTTACATTACATCCTGTTCTATGTGTGAAGTTGAGATTAACATGAGTTACTCCATACCTCGATACATTTTTATTTATTTATAACTGTTATTATTTAACTATTTATTAATAACGTTATGATGAATATTATGATATTAAACAGTGCCTATATTATATGCATAGACTCCGACCTCATGTACTCCATTATCGGTAGCGTGTCTATGGCAGCCAAGTGCATTTACCCATCAACAAGCGTCATATAGCAGGACTGTCAATATATTGGGATTGATTTACCTGTCGCGTAATGACCACTAATGTTGAATAAACATGTCAACGGCGTAATGAGCACCGATGATAAATGCACACAGCTACATCCAGGTCATGGTCTATTTGAGTGTCATAGTTGTAATTAGATTAAATACATCAGTAGGTTGTCACTTCATTGTAAATTGGACAGGTAAAATTTTAAATGCAATAAAAAAAAATTAATGATTTTTTATGTAAGTATATCTTTCTTGCTTTGTTATATTTTTTTTATTTTTAAGTCCTTTTATTTTATTTAGTGTATATATGATTATTATTTGTTGTTTTTTGCTTCTATATTTTTTTTTTGTGCATATTATGTTATCATACCTAACTATAACTAATGTCTAAGTGACAGATTGTTGTAATATATAAAATCTTGGTGGTGACATATAAAAAAAAACTATGTTGTGTGCTTAATACCACACGAAAGAAGTGAAAATATCAATCAGGCGGGATTGATAATATATAATATATATATATATTTTTTTTTTTTCTATATTGACAAAGTAATAACATTTACTGAGTTATAATTGTGTATAAATTGCAAAATCGCGCATCAAAAAATCATACAGAAACACTTAATTTCTTATTTCGTATTTTTATGGCTAATTAATATATATATATATATTAATATTATTATATATATTAATTTTTTTGGCGATCTTTTCCTCCTTCCCACTCTTTAACTGGACGCCACATTCAATAAACAATTTTGAATTATAGCTCATTATAAACAGGATGAAATTGTGAAAAATTACCTTGCCTACAGTATGAATGTCCTCTTTTTAGTTCCTGAGATATTTTAATCCAAACGCAAAAATATTATTCGATTATAGTCGACCCAATCCGACTATACCCGAATTAGCGTTACATATCTGAGCTTGATGGCTCAGTCTCATTCAATACCCACAAAATAGAATGCTGTGAGCACTTAAATATGTTTTTAGTTTAAAAAATCAATGTACGATCAATGTTCAGTTGTGCCATCACCTGACACACACTTCAGGCAGTGGATCAGCTGATGAGAAGGTTGTCTCCTCAACTCCTCTCTCAGTTTTTACCAATTTTATAGCGGAATCTCTCTGATTATTCACGTGATACAGTTAAGTGTATATCAGAGCAGTTGATATTTACTGTTGGCATCTTTTTTTTTGTTATTTTAAGAAAAAAAAAAAAAAAATTTTTTTTTTTTATTTTTTTTTATTTATTTATTCATTTTTCTCTTATGATATGCGGTATGATCAGCAAGTGATGGCCAGTAAGGTGCCCAAGAGGTCTCGGTCAGACGGAGTTAGCTCACCAGCCAAACAAAGGACTCGTCGCTGCCTACGAGAAATACCTCCAGTGACCAAAATGAACACTTCAGAACCAGAACCTCAGCCCCAACCAGGTACGTCTGCACAAGAAACGATTGAAGAATCACCTTTCTTTACTCCAAACCCCTACCAAGTGCTTCAAAATGACAGAGAAGTAATGGAGTCTGCAGCAATACCCAGAGAACCAAAGCCTCCTCCGATATTTGTGAAAAATATAAAAAATTTCCAGATGTTCTGCACCCAACTAAATAAAATCTGCTCTGGCAGTTATTCATGCCTTAACAGGACCAATGACACCAAAATAACAACTGATTCTGCAGAAGCCTACCGAAAAATAGTGAAGTACTTATCAGAAACAAATGCGAATTTTCACACTTACCAGCTGAGGCAGGAAAGAGCTTTACGAGTAGTGATAAGAAATTTACATTCCTCAACCCCCACTGAAGTTATTAAAGAAGAACTAACGACGCTTGGTTTCAATGTACGTCAGGTAACAAACGTTTTGAAGGAGGACAGGGAGCAGCCAGGATTACGAAATAGGATCCCACTACCATTGTTTTTCGTGGACTTGGAGCCATCACCAGGTATCGAAAAAATATATGATATCACAAGAATATACTACACAATGGTGAAAGTTGAGAAGCCATATCCCAAGAGAGACATCGTGCAGTGCCATAATTGTCAGACCTATGGCCACACGAAGACATATTGCCACCATCTGCCGCGTTGCGTGAAGTGCGGTGAACAGCACAAATCTGTAGAGTGCACCAAACCTATACAAGATCCAGCAGTATGTGCCCTATGCTTGGAGGGACACCCGGCCAACTACAAAGGCTGCCAAATTTACAAGAATCTCAAAACCAGACACCAGAAAAACCGGATTCAAGATGAAGCACTAAGAACAAGAAGAGAGAGAGAGCCTTCCAGAATTGTAAACAATGATGTATCATTCTCCCAACTACTTAGAGGTAAGACTTTAACCGATAAATGTCAAGCCCTGCCACAACAACCTCAAACCCAACCTCAAAATCCTCTTCATCCTAATATACCTAACCACCAACAACAAATTCCTCATATTCCTCCTCCTTCAAATGCAACAGATCTCACAAGTTTGTTAGCATCTTTCCTCACCGATTTCAAATCCCTTGTTACTCCACTCATATCACTCCTCACGAATCTCGTATCTCACCTCATCCCTCCTCTGAAAAATCCTTAAATGAATCACATCCCTAAACCCATATCCATTCTCCTTTGGAATGCGAATGGTGTTAGAAATCATACAGACGAACTATCTACTTTACTACTTGACAAGAACATTGATGTGGCACTAATTACTGAAACTCGACTAACCACTAAACAGCACTTCAATATACCACAATACCTGACATATCGTACTGACCACCCTGACGGAAAAGCACATGCCGGTACTGCTGTAATTGTACACCAATCCCTCTCCCATCACGTACTCCCATTACCAATACATGATTTCCTACAGTCCACCGCTATCGTGATAAAAACCTTCTCCTTTCCGGTCACTCTTGCATCAGCGTATTGCCCTCCTAACCGATCCATATCCAATGTCCAATTCAGTTCTCTCCTCGACTCCTTAGGACATCACTTCATCTTGGGTGCAGACCTAAATGCCAAGCACCAACAATGGGGTTCCAGAACCACGAATTCTCGTGGCCGAACCCCGCTGTCTGCACTCAATTCCCAACGTTTTCACCTCCTTTCCCCCAACTCTCCTACCTACTGGCCCACAGATCCCAACCGTAATCCTGATCTTCTTGATTTCTTTATCCACAGCGGCTTAAGTCCCCTCCATTGTTCCATTACACGTCTAAATGAACTTTCCTCTGACCATAGTCCTCTAATCCTTAATGTTTCACTTGAACCTGTTCCCAAACCTTCTCC